AAATTCTGATGACAACAAGGTGATCTGACTTGGGCTGCAAAAATATCTGCATCTTAAGAGTTTAAAAGGGGAAGTAATGTTAATGTTGCACTGGGGAGTTGGATGTGAGTTTTACATGAAATGATGAAAAATGAATTTTTGACACCTGTTGTATGTGGAGTCTAAAGAAACTAGAGAAAAGATATCTTAGGTTGACGTAATAGTAACTTCAAATTTAGGGAAATGAGTGAAATATGAATTAGATTTATTGTCAGGCTCTATAGAGAAAAGAACTGAGACCAATAACTATCCCAAAGTAAAACTGCCTTAAAAACCTAACAAGAATGGAAAAAGATGTATGCTTTGATACTCTTTAAACTCAAGAATTTTGATGTAGTCTCCTCCTCCATTGTGAAAAATAGTGCTAAAATTCATTAGGTCTCTGTCATCTTGAAAAATCTATTTTAAATACTAGTTATGAAATGATAATTACAGAAAACTGCCCTCCACCCATTCATCTGCTAGCTATGAAATGATAATTACAAAAAGGAAAAAAATCATGTTTTCCCACTCCTGTTTACCATCCCATAGGAGTTTGGAAAGGAGTGGCTTGTGCTATGAGTTGTGTGGTGAAGAGCACAGAGCCAAGATTTCCATTTTTGCCATACACTTACCTCTGTGTTACATCTCTTAAGTCCATAGTGAGTCAAGAATAGGAAACAAGCATTACAATGTATTCTCTATTTTAAACTTTTGTTCTGGCTTGAGTTTTCTTTGTCTCTCTTGTGTTTACAGATTTTCAGGTATTTATCAAATGAGATCTGGTGCCAGAATAGCAAACATTTCTGTACCACTAAAACTTTCATGATTTTCCGGTGTATGAGTATGAAAAACAAGAATTCATGAAGAATTCACTCTTGGAGAATCACCAGCCCTCTCTTTGCATTGGTAGTTGTCTCTCTTAACTGCCCTGCCATTCTGACCTAAAAATTCCTTCTTTACACCAAGAACAGTTTTCTGCTTTTATTCCCATGACATTTCTCTGTATTCGACTGGAAGACTTAGTGAATCTTATGATATTAGAATAGGTTTTGCATTGACTTGTCCACATTCTGAAATGGTGAAGACTGTTTTCCATAATTTCTGTGGGCTAAACACTACAATTTTAGAGTGGCAGTTTTCTCAGAAGTCAGTTTTGAAATCAGTGCTGAAGTTAAAATATAGATAATATCATCCCTGATAACCCTGTCGTATAGCATACCTACATACAACTATATCTTAATCCAGTGCAGCCTCTTACTAACCCCAGTGTAAGACCTGGAGTGCATCTGGGGTTCTAAGCCACAATGAGTGTGGTTGTCCAGGGCCAGGCCATTGATGGGCCCTGTACTCCGGTCCATGTTCCTCTTGTTCTATTAAGCTGTCAGAAGTGACTTCTCAGCTACTCATTCTGGAATAAACAAATGTCTTCAGAGGGAAAATGACCCCAAATATTGGGCATAGAAACCAGGACTCTATCCTTCACTTGATCCAGGCCTGATCATTAAAATTCCCCACTATGTCTTTACCTCTGCACTGCAACAGCAGGAGGGTTCATGTGGTTAACTGGCCCAACACCACTGGAAGTAGAACTCAGCAATGCCTTCTTTAGATAATGACTGGCTACCATGAAGTTTATAAAAAGATACAGTCTTGGAAATGGAAATGTCCAGTATAGAGCAAATATTTACCTAATTTTTGTCAATAGTGGAGGAGAGAAGGGTACAAATTTGTCAGGGTTTCCTTAGAATGTCCAAAAGGCAAAGTTGCTTTGTCAGGTAACCAGATTTCTAGCCCAGTTCAGTTCTACCTGTTGGATATTTATATTGAACTAAATAAAAATATGTTCTTTTTCATGGAATAAAAATCAGTTTTAGAGTCTGTTATGTAGGATATTGCAGGAAATTACTCACCCTAATTGGGGACAGAGCTTTACAGATATTAGAGTTCCAAACTTCCACTGTGACCTAACTGCTATGCACTGGGGTTGACAAATCTTTCTCTTATGAAATTTATTAGATTGAATTACTTCTTCCAGAGCTTGAATATTACAAGTGTAAACTAGTATTACATACTCAGAAGATTAAACACAATCAATGCTATAAAGAAATAAAAAGTGCTGAAGAGAATAATAATGTGGGGGAACCAAATTAAAATTCTTGAATCTAGGAGAGTCTTTTTGAAAAAGTGACATTTAAGCTGAAACCTGAAACATACATAGGAATTAGCTGAAAGTAAGATCACTCCAGGTAGGAGGTATAGCATTTGCAAACTTGCTGTTGCCAGGGGAAGTCAGTTACTTTCCAGACTAGTCTGGCCATAGTGTGGTAAGCAAGGGAGAAGACAGGAGATGAAGTTTTACAATTGAACAGGAGTCAGATTTGCAGTACCTTTAGCTATAGTAAGCACTTAACACATATTTGCCAAATTTTATTTGCTGTGTTATATATGTGTACCTAATAAACTAATTAGTAGCGTACTTCACAAGGGCAAACACAAATTCTATTTGTTACTGTATTTCCAGGACCTAATAAAGTACTGGATGTTTAATTGGCATTCAGTGACATTCGATATGCATTTGAATGAGTGAATGCGTAGATGAAGACAAGGTGCAAGGAAGTACACGCTGAGCTTGAGCTTTACCATAGAATCATTGGGAGGACATTGAAACATTTTAAGGAAAGCATCACATTTATGTTTCTCAAAGGAATTTTATTAGCTCTTGTAACTGGGAAATCCTTAAAAAGTCCAAAGGTTTTCAACCTGACTAGAACCACAGGTTGAAATAAAGGCTTTAAAGACGTAAATAAAGCATCATCATCATCACTACCACTAATCCCCATTATGGAAATTTCAGAATCCTGGGGACAAAGATCCCTAAAATTTAGAATCAGAAATGTTTAGATTTTTGAACAGCAGCACTGGGAAGCAGCATACATTAACCTGACTATAGTCAGTCATGCTATCAAATGTATTAGGAGAACAAAGGTATTTTCAAATATACAAGATGTTATGCATTCTTTCTCAGGAAACTACTGGAGAATATGGTCTACCAAAAGAAGAGAGCTAACCGGAGAAAGAGGACAGTGTGAGCTCCGGTAATCCAACAAAAGAGAGGTGAAAGGATTGCTCTAGTAGGAAGATGAAGACAGATAACAAAATGAAAGAAGTTGAACAGCCTAGAAGACACCCTATCCAAATGGAAGCAGGTCAGAATTCCCTTGGAATGTGTGTTCCAGGATGAAATGGATAGAATACCTAATGCATTTGAGTCCATTGAGGGGAGAGTTACACACTGAGTAGGAATAGGGACTAAAAGAGGTATAGAAAAGAAAGACTAACACATCCATATCTCAGTTGTCAGTAACATTTATATAATCATAACAGGAAACACTGTGTACACTATATAGTAAGTATTATGATATGACAAGGCATGGGGATGAGAGTGTGGGTAGAGATGTCATGGGGACAAAGTAGTATGAGAAAGAGAACAAAGTCCTCATTTTGCATAATAGGAGAAAACATCAAGCCATAGCATGGAAACATGTTTTATGGAAATGAATATCAAAAGAATTTGGAGAGCAGGAAATTGAGTATTTGTGAGTTAACAGGCATTATGGTTTTGTAACAAGCCTTTGGAACTACAATATTTGGCTATGTACATGTAAGTATAACTTCTGTGAAATTAAGAAACATAAAAATTTTTAAAGTGCAATATGGACTCACTATACATAAACAATTCAAGAAACAGGACAGTGAAGGCAAGCTGACAGGGATGGGACACAGAGGTGTAGGATCAAGCGGGGAAAGGCTCAAGCTTTAAATTACCAATAACTCATACTTGTGGAGTAGTTACTGTGTGCCAGGCACTAAGTACTGTACACATACTAACTTACTACTGGTAGTATCATCAACCCAATTTTATAAATAGGGCAGCTGAGGTTTAGCAAGGTTAAATAGCTCACCAAAGGCCACGCTGCTGGTAAGTGGGAAAGCAGGGACCGAACCTGGCAGGTTGGCTCCAAAGGCACTGTCCTACAGCATGGCACCTTGGAACCCCGGCAGACGTGGTTTCCATAGAAAAGGCGAAGTGACCATTAGGAGGGAAGGTGTTAGAGACAGAGCTGGTGAGATGAGATCCTGAGCATGCATACTAGTAGATGATGGGATTTTATAGGCAAAGGAAACAAAGAAGATTGGTGTAAGGGAAAGTAGGTCTGTAAATTTGGTGATGGGAACAGGGAGATCCTCCTGCTTAGCTGATACTTTCCTTCTAAATTTTTAAAACTTAGTGGCAAAATTACTCTCTAAAGATGAAGAAGGTAAAAGCACATGGGAAGCTTGAGAGTACTAAAGAAAGAAGTGTGTTCAGCACGGTGGAACTCGGTTTTCTAGTGAACCGTGGTAATTGCCTGGTGGTACAGAGTACTCACCGCAGTCGTTTTCAGGAATTTCTGTGATACATTCTGCCTGTTATGTGGCCAGTGTAGAGATGTTAGTGGCAAGGGAATCCACTAATATCAAATCAAAAGTAAGAGTGCAAAGTGCTTACATGTACAATAGGAGGGTAAAGTTAACATCTGTGGGAACCAGGACATTAGCAGGTAGAGGACAAGTGGTACAATCTATCAATCTGCCTTTTCTTTTTCTTTTTCTTTTTGCTTTTTCCAGTACTGGAGATTAAACTAAAGGCCTTCTCTCTGAGCTACATTCTCTACCCCTTTTTATTTTTTATTGTGAGACAGGGTCTCGCTCAGTCATCCAGGTTGAACTCCAATCTGTGATCCTCCTGTCTCAGTCTCTTACAGTGCTGGGATGACCACTGCACCTAGATTCAGTCTGCCTTTCTCATTTTGTGTGTGTTCTATAGCCTTGTCTACTGCTAAGGATGTCATTATAGCCCATAAAAGAAAAACTGATAAATTTATACTAATAGATTATTTTATACAAGTTCTATGACAGGTATTCCAAGAGGTAACGTATTTGGGAAACAAAACAATTTATTGCATTGGCAATTTCAACAAGTGATTCTGTGGAGAGCTGTTAGGGACTTGCAGGGAGACCCAAAGGTCACTCTGTAATGGTCACTGACATTTCCACTATTTGAACACAGTTCTTATCAATGCTTGGATATCTGTAATAATGAGCAAAGAACATAAAGCATTTTAGAAGCATTGTAAGAGAAATAGATTCAGTCAGCCTATTGCTACATATGTGTAACTCATTACAATGTAAGGTGTCATCAACTAGAGGCTTTCACAGGCATCTCAAGACTCGTTGGTCTCAGTATGATCAGGTATAGAAGGAGTGCATGCTCTGAGCAGATTTGTGTGTTGGGACATTGGTCTGCTCTGTGTCCCTGTTAAGAGGTGGCAGGCCTTTGCAAGGGGGCCTAGGAGGAGACCCTTACTCACCCTTTCCCATGCTCTTTGCTTCTGGCCTGCCAAATGCTGTCTTCCTGCTCTGTGCTTCCATCACCCTGAGATGCTCTCCAGAGCTGCGTATATGGTTTGCACGTTCCACCTCTTTCCAAGTGCCCAGCCTCAGGTCACTTCATTTCATTGTAGCAGTGAAAAACTAATAGAAGCATTTTTGGAGCATCAAAAGGTCAAAAACTGAAAACAATTCTGATGCTCATTACTTCTAAGAACAACATGAAAGGACAACATTTAGGGGAAAAACTGGCAAAAGTGTAGTAATAAATAGCCTATCAGCCTATCCTCAAAGAGTGGATTTTTAAAAAGTACATCTCTTACATAAAGGACTTCATTTGTCAAAAATTTATCTTTAGTTTTGGCATTAATGTACAGCTATTAAGGTTATGTACAATACAGAGAATTTTGAAGTGCTTCTTGAATTTAAAATTTACAGAGAGAGAAAGAGGACAGTTACATTCTAGTGGGTAAAGTCTAGGGGTAGGCATTGACCATCCTACCCCAAAAGAAAAAAGAAAGTGGTACTTGAGCATAACCTAGAGAGTGGGATAAAACATCGCCAGGAGAGCAGGTGGAAAGGGATCCGAGCCAGGCCTTGCAGCTGCAAAGTCTTAGCTGAGTGAAAGCATGGCAGCTGCAGATCGGATGTGGCTGTGATAAAGGCTGAAGGCAGAAGTCCTAGGAGAAGCACGGAGGCTGGCTTACGAAGGTCTCGTTGTCATGCAGAGACCCTGGACTTCATCCTGAATGCTTTGAAGACCCAGCAGAGCATTCAAGAAGAGCAAGGGTAACTTACCTGTGCTTCCACAAAATGGAAGATTATAACAAGTAACTGCTGTAGTCTGTTCCATCTCTAGTGGTCTGTGATCCTACAAGTAGTGAAATCCTGAAGGAGAGGAGAGAGAATGAAGAATTGGAATCACAGCTGAGAGCTGCCTCTCAGGAGACACTGGGATATCAGGGTTGCTGGGAAGTATTGAGCCCATTGTGAATGGGTATTGTGATGCACTTAGCTGGCGTGGGGCTTGGGGAGAGGACAGGCATAAGGACTGTGGGCATGGACAATGCAAGTTCACTCTTACACATAAGATTCAGTGTTCTGTACAAAACACTCTGTTGCTACAGATGACAGCCTTCAAATTTCCATTCGCACTGGGAAGTAAAGGATGGCTGAATCCTCCAGATTTCCATGGTAGGTGAACCAAAAAACACAGCTTCCAAAAAGAAAGGGGGAAAACCTACTCCCTACTCCCAGAACTACTAAAGGGTTAAGTTATGTCAGAATTTCTTCATCCAAATCTACTTCATTAGACTCTCAGTTCCCATTTCATTACTTTTGGCTTAACACTAATGTTACTTTGGTGATTACTTGGTGATCTACTGGATGTCTTCATCTGGCCTATCAAGTCTATGATTTATAGCTAAATTATAATTACCTTTATCTGAATTCCTAGTTGTGTCCTCTAAAGCAAGGTCTTGGCTCCCCAGTTCCTACTTGAATAAAACTTTCCTGACCCTAGTATTTTAGAGGTCACACGCAGAGCCCCAGTCCTGCTATAAATATACAGGGCATTAACTGTGTCTTAAGGATAGTGGTAGCCTATGTTCAAAGGAACTTAACGTTTCCTTTGGAGAGGAAAAGGAGACACTGATGGGACTGTAATGTAAGTATAAATGGAAGTCCACTACTATTTTACAGAGTCCAACTTCAGAAGGACCCCAAAGAGAAAATAATTGATTAATGGCTATCTGTGGTTCATCTCAGTTTTAAAGTAGTGACGGGAGGTGCACCTGGGTGAGGAAGTGCATGCCTCACTGGGGAGGTCAGACTGAAGGAGGAAATGGCAAAGTAGCCTCTGACAGTGAAGGAGGTGACTGCACCACAACAGCTTGCAAGGATGGCCAAGAGGTATGGAAGTGGATGAGTCATCATGTGAGCTAAGATTAAATAGATTTCAGTCAAGTCATTAAGCAAGAATTCACATACAGAGAGCCCCCCTCCCCCGCAACAATGACCTACGTTAATCAGAGAGCTTTCTTCTTTCAGCTATTTCTGACTTTGGAAGTCCTCCCTTTTCTTGCAGCCCACGCCACTTTCCCACTTCTCTCGGAAGCTTGGACATGTTGTATTTTTCTAAGCAAAAAACAAAGCAAAGCAAAACCAAGATCAGTTCCAGGGAAAATATTTAAGGCCGTGGAGAATAGGAAACACCAAAATGAGGATACTGATTTATTCAGCTAGGAAGCATTTGTGCTTTGAAGGCCGGGAGGAAAGCCAACGCTTGTAACTTCAGCTGTAATATTAATGGGTTCTTTGTTGTTATTATTTTTGTTTTTTATTGAGCTGGGCGTTAGGTACAGTGGCATCTGAAATATTTCATCATTTTCAGGAAGAAATGTCTGAAAGGAAAAGGACAGGAAAGGTTATTTTGTCTATATCCCTGCTTCTACTTGGGAACAAGCAGAAGCCTCTCCTACCATCCTAATTTTATTATAAACTGAAAAGCTATTCATAGACAAGACTGCCTACTCTCCTCTTTGAGGTTAATGCTCACAAGTGAATTTTTTGTTTGTTTTAAAGCAAATGTTCAAGCAACATCTATAAAGCTGAGTTAACTTCAGTGACTCCATCCATGGGTGTAACTAGTTGCACTGAACTGATTTGAAGATGCCTTTCCTGCTTTGTTGATATTATAACATCACACTTGTTTGAGTGATGTATCAGGAGTAGAGGTCTTAGCCCCAGTGTGGTCATTCAGCTCTGTTGTCCTTATGGGCCGCTAGGTATTGGGTTACCCCGGGTTTCTCCCACTTCCTTGCTACTCATTAGTCCCTCGCCACCTCTTCTTCTCCGTGGCCCTGAGATCACTGCGCTTCCTACTTCCTACCCAACGATCACTGCAGAAAGAGAAAAAAGAAAAGCCATGAGTCATCTTGTTATAAAATATACAAATAGCTAAAGTCAGAAATAAAATAGGAAAGGATGGATTTAATGGTTAGAATTAGACTTGCAAATTATCTGTGTGCTTCATATTTTCCACTTGGGATTTCCTCCAACACAGACACTGATTGGCATTGTGCGGAAGCATGGCAACTTTACGGTCATCCTGCTTGAATTAAAATCCTTGCTCTACCATTTCCCAGCTACGTGATCTTCATCAAGTTATTCAGTGAAATTTAGACAGTAATAATAGCTACCTTTTTTTTTGAAGCTAAAACAAAACTTAAAAGAAATGATGTAGGAAAATGCTTAGCACACTGCCTAGCATATAACAAGAATTTTGGCAGTTATTACACACATTCATTTTAATTTTTCCTCCTGCTCTTCTAATTTTAATAAACAAAATGCTTTAAAAGTTGATAGGTATTCAAGATAGCCTATATCCACAAAAAACTAGCTTCTGGGTAAAAATCATATCTGGTAACAGTGGCTTCAATACCTGAAGAAGACTTCTTCCTGAAAACAGTGAATTCGTCTGCCTACTCTTTGCTCCCTACAGGTGCCAGCCATCTGCTCATGAAGAGGACAGGAGTTGCTAAACTGGTTGGTAGCTCAGTTTGTTTTTATTTCATGTTCATCACCACCTAAAAAGGCCCACATAACAGAGTTCAAGTTGCCTCCTTCCAGACTGACCAGTCACTTTTTCATGAGGATAAGGACCTCTTGGGGGAAAAAATAGTGTAATTGCCTGCAGAAATGAGGTCAAGAGGATTGTTGGCAAACACTAGGGTGTGGAGAGTGGCTCAACTACAGCATCCCTAGGTTTAAGACGTGCTCCTCATGGGTATGTGTGGCTTGCTGGAGTTATGAGCTGCTAGAAAAAGGCTGGGGATGAAAGTAGTTCTGAACAGCCAGAAAGGCTGGTAGAAGATCTGGCCACAGAGGATTTCAACCTGGAGAAGCCAAGGAAACACTTGCTGGAAGAGGAAGCAGCCTGTTCTGGATGGGAAACCAAGTTTCAAACACATCCACGGATAAGCACATCGCTCAGATGAACTGTGTTCCTCTACATCAAAATTAAAAATAATATTATCTTTGACCTATTCCCTCTCTGCCAACTCTCCTTTCTTGCACTCTCACACTGGCTGCAGCTCCTCCTGGTGGCTTTTTTTTTTTTAAGGGCTCTTTATTGGCTCCAAATGGAGGAAGGGTAGGCAGGAGAGGATTGGCTAAGTGAGAGCAGCACTGCCCTGTGCTTCCCCTCCCACACCCTCTCGGAGGAACAGCTGGAATGAGAAGTGGGAGGGGAGGCTGGGATTGGCTGAGAGGCAGTGGCAGGGTGTGGTGGGGCAGCGCAGATGAGGCATTTACCTGTCTAGGTAAGTCAGGAGGAGGTCAAAAGGAGAAGCAAACCGTGGGAGGCAGCGGAAGCAGTCTCTGTCTCTATCTCTGCCCTTTGAAATAAAAGGGAACTCCTTTCTTCTCTACGGTCCCCAATCCAGGGGAGGTGAGTTCATCTTTAATCTACTATTACTTATTCTGTAGCAAGACAGGGACTTCAGAGGAAGTCATAGCTGCAGGGTTTTGGGGAGAAGAGGGTGAATGTCCCTCTACACCCCAGCTAGAGGCTTTCTTTTCTGCCCCTCAATTCTCGGCACCCAGCCTGGGATCAGAGGAGCACAGTAGCTTTCTGAGATTGGAGACTAGACTGGGAAACTCTCATTTACTTATGTAGGTTGGGCAAACACATTGTTACAAACAAGGGAAGAAAATACGTTTGTTTTTGGAAATTTCCATCTCTGAGCAATTGAGTTGTGGATTTGGAAGAGAATCATTGGCATGTAAGTTCTCAAAGTGCGGGTCACTCAAGTGAGTAGAGTGCCTTGATTTTCCATTGTGTTTGTAACAGGAAATTCTTCCATGACTTTTATCAACCCAGTGTCTATCTTTATTTAAGTAAAGGGAGCAGTGTATGTACGTTTGATGGTGGTGAATAATGGAGTTCTCTGTGGTCAGGTTGCGAGGTGTGAACTGTTCTGAGTTGTTTGTAATGGGATCTGAGGTTTGGACATGTTGGGAAAACTCCCAACTCATGATACCAGCTCATCTTTGGAAAAAACCACAGATAGTCCAGCTACAAAGTTGAGTTTATTTGGGTTCAACCATTAATTTTCTGACTTTGCTTGTGAATAGATCCAGACACTGGGAAACAGAAAGCTACATGCCTGTACAGGGCCTCACCCACTATTTCACAGCAGCATGTCTACTCTGGTGAGAGCGCCAAGTGGGCTCAGGCCAGGGTGGTATGGCACAGAACAGAGGAGCACTGGACCAGGGACTGGGTTTGCTTTGTGCCTCTCAGGGTGTCCCAGAGGCAGTGGGTGTGACAGGCAGACCTGCACAAGGCAGCTGGATGTAGAAGTTCAGTCAGAGTAGCCCATCAGCTCTGTCATCTGTCTTGTAGGTGAGCACTCTGGCCCATAACTCCTCTTTTCCCCTCAGTACAGAGAAGAGGACAGTGGACATACTTCAGGGCCAGGCTCTCAGGGCCTGGCTTGCCCAGCCCTGAAAGGACATTTGGGTTTCTAGTCCTGGCAAGTGGAACTTTAGGCTCCTCCACACGAAAGAACCAGCCCACCACATTCGCTGGCAAACATCTCCTGCACTACCTTAACAAGGACTCTCTGTGGGGCCCACTTGCAGCCCACCCCTCCCCTCAATCCACTGGTGAAGGAAACATTGAGATGTTGCCTAAACATTAAACTTGCCCATGTGCTCATGAAGAAGGATGTGCACACAGTATACATATCAGTCTTGCTGGCACTTGACGTAGCATAGTCTCCAGCCCAAGGCACATTTCTGAGTCATCAGCAAAAAGCAAAGACCTCAGGTCTGAGAGAAACAAAAAATTCTCTGACTGCTGAGAATGGGGGCTGAGCTCTTGAGGATGGGCCCATGCGCACGAGAGAAGGTGATAAGGGAGGCCTGGCCTGGTAAGAACAATGTGGGATGGGACTGCAGCTCATTCCTGCCTCACCCACTTCGGATGCCAGGACTCCACATGCAGTTTATTTACTCTTCTGGAGGCCTGGCTAGTTTCAGCAGAATGGTTAATATTTACTGTGTCTTTGGATGGGTGGCCCCAACTATAGGCCATGCATATTAACGCCATCCCTCCTCCTCATAATTCTCAAAAAGAGGTCAAAGGTGAAAAGATACCAAACTCTTGCCTTGACTGTTATGCTGGTTTCTCATATTTCTTATCAGGCAGAATAGGAATACCGCCGGTTTCGATGGCTACCCTGATACAGCCTCTAAGTTTCACGGTTATAAAATTGGTAGAAGGAAATACAACATTTAAGTTGGGTCAAGCTGAAGGTGGAGAGAAGAAAAATATTTTTTTACTGTTCCAATTTTTTGGATCATAAAACTAGATGTAGAGATAAGGTGTCAGCACCCAGGGCTCACTCAGCTGTGCTTTCAGGGCGGGTTTCATCTCCGCAGTGACTATATGGGGCCTGGGACCTGATTGTCAGTGACATTTGGTGCCATTTCTTTACCCTGGAAACATGTATCTGGTGTTGGGAAATAAACTGTCTGGAAGGACCATGCACAGAGTATCCGGTATGAGGTGAAGACCAAAGGGTGACCTTTAGGATTTTCTTATTTAATCAGGGCAGCCAATGCCCTTTCATTAAGTGCATACCATCTGCATGTTGGCAGTCACTGAAGTGTCCCTTGGAGGGGCCCTTTAAATGCAGATATGGGTCATCTTCAGCCTCCCCTAGGAGGGGGTAGTGGGAAGCGCCCCAGCTCGCCCATCTATACGGTGAAGAAAATGTCACTCTGCCTGTTGCCATGTGAACCTGAAGGTCTGGTGAGATATGTGAGCACGTTGTAAGCAGCTGCCTGCTGTGTCCTTGTGAAGTGGCTGTTCCTGTTGTCTGTGTCTGTGATGCTGCTTCGGGTCTGGGACGGGGTGTGGAGGGCTTCTCTGCGAGGGGGAAAGGCTCGAAACCACGGCCCAGCACAAGGCATACTTGGAAGCTAACTTCCTCTGAAAGTGAGAGGTAGCATCTGTCCAGCTATCCCGAGAGAATATTACATTAGTTACAGAAAGTCACCTCCAACAGTTATTACTCCACTTGCACATATAAGAAAAATGGAGCCAAAAACTAGACCCTTGGATCCACACCAGCTTCTGGAAAATGGTGTCTTTGTCTTATGTAGATTCATACCTCCTATATTGTTAGGTGCCTATAAATATTAATTTATCTGAAAATATTACCCAGATTCCACTCAGCCATATATTCTCAGGAAATAAATTATTTGAGAAAAAACTTACATTAACAGGTCAGAAGTCAAGAAGAAGCCTTCCAACAGCTCAACCCAGTGGACACTAGAGCAGATCAGGTTATTCAGCCAGCACCGCATTTTCTGAGGGCCTTCTGTGTGCCTTATCTTATGAGAAATAGATCCCCTTGGCTGCGATGGCCTCAGACCTACAGAACGTAAGGCATGGGCTAGTGCTGTGTGAAGCTGCACAGTCGTTAATGGAGTGCATAGCTGAGATGACCAGACTTCACCCACCTGATTCCTCAAGCTCCCGTTTCTTTAATGTTCTCCATACTGAGGCACTGACCTCATGAAGAAGCCCTTGGTGCTGTCTCACCAGTGTGAATTTCTCACTGGGCTTCTTTGGTATCTCTGTTCCTCTGGTCCCCTTTTTATCTCTTGAGGAGTGCTGGACCTTTAAAAAAAAACATACATGTCTGGCTTATTTAGGACCTTTCCTTTTCTTTCCCCAGTGTCCTGCCCTTCTTTCTCTGCCCCATTTAGGAGGCTCCTCCCACCTAGAAGAGGAGCTACATAAAGCTCGCCAGCTTATAGGGTTGGAGGCTGACTCATCCGACCCAGCCCCAACCTGATGTTGGCATGGAAGTACTTGTTGGCAGAGGTCAAAGGAATATCTGCCATGGTATCCAATACCCACGTCCCCAGAGGTCAGTTAGACATTTTACCTTGTACTGGGAAAGTAGCAGAGAGAGTTAAAATATAAGCATTGTGTTATGAGCAAAATATAGATTCAGAATCAAGTAAACTTTATTCTGACTCTCCCCCAACCTTCTGTTCACCTTGAAACTGTCTTTGGATCATAATTTCATAGAATTTCATTTTGCATACAAGAGTCACCCTTGGTCTGCTCAGCTGTGGTGGAGTCTTTCCCACAAAGAGACAGATGAAAGTCCTTGGGACTTCCTGTGGGAAAGCAGCCACAGCTCCCTTTGATACTACTATTGTCACAATGAATTTGAATTGTTCCCCCCTCTAAGGATCTGAAGTTGGAAAGAAGCTACATAGGACTTTTGTCTTGTTCAACTAACACAAGTTAGAGAGCTTTGCTGGGAACACAAGCAATAGCAGAGGAGATGACACCCAGGAAAGAGGGAAGTTGGGTTCCTGTCAGCCTCTGTAGGTACCAGGTTTCTGTCTGTCAGCCCAGGGAGCAGATGATCATTGCAGTGGTGGTTGTGATGGTGTTGAATATGCTATGATAGCAGCTCATGATTACTGGGTCATGAACAGCGCGTAGTGTTTAACGTGAAGTATTTCCTTATATTATAGTCTCACAGTGGGCCTCTTAAGGAGTAAGGGCTATTAAGGGGCCTGTCCTTTCTCTCAAGCCTATAGTTTCTGATTTAACCAGAACCCTTCATTTCTAACTTCTTGTTTCCCTTGCTTTAGGGAATTAGTATGGTCTTAGATGAATCTTATGTTTTTCTTATTACAAGAACAATTTTAGATGTTCCTTAAGTGTTGAGTATTTACTACTAACTAAACTGTGCTAACTGTTCTTTCACTTAATCCTTACAATAACCCTATTAAATGAGGAAAAGCAGGCTTGGTTCAAATCCAATCACTGTAAATGGATCAGCCATTTCAAATCTAGACCCAAATACCTCCAGACCCAGGCTATCAGTCCCTGTAGTATTTATTGTTTGTACTAAGAAAAGTATAAGCTTTCTGGACCAAAGAGAAGAGTAACTAAGAAAAGCAATGAAGTTCTTTCCAACTAGATTTCCCCTATGCCACCTAAAACTCTGCCTTCTGCATGTGTTTGAGCCAGCCTGTGTCCTTCTTACAGGCTCGGGGTGGTGTTCAGGTCATGGCTGATCACATCCCCCTTCCAGCTCTCTGCTTGCTTGGTATCTTTGCCACCATGCTGCCCCAGGGCCTGGGCAGAACCTTGCACAAGCCTGCCTCACACATGGCTTTATTCTTCTCTTTTCAGGCCCGGCTGGGGACACTCTTCGCTTCCCTTCGCTTCCTCTCTGGGAGCCCCTTTCACCACCCCTGCACCCTGCTTCGGGCGATGCCTGAGAGGGAGCTGTGGCCAGAAGGGCCTGGCTCAGAACCCGGGACCCACATCGGCAGCTGCGACAGCATGATGAGCACCACCTCCGCCCACTCTGGATCTGTATGTACTCTCCTCCTGCCGCCTGGCCCCTGCACAGCTGCTGCGCCCTGCTCTGCTCCCAGCTGTGGCTCCCTGCAGCTTCTCTTTCATCTTCCTGTAAAGCACAGCATTAGTGGGTGCTCTCTGCCTCTGAGTCACCCCTAGTCTATGGAGAATGGGTTGGGACAGCCTCAGAGAGGAAAGCAAGAGGACCAATAAGACTTTTTCCTCCAACTTGCATTAGATTGAGGGATTGGGTTGAGGAGAAAGAGTAGGCCTGCAATCTGAGGTCATGGTGGAAACTGGAACATTTTGATAGCATGTGGACTCTTGAAGTTCTCTACAGTGGGTAGTAAGTATTACTTCAGTCTTTTCCAAAGACCAAAGCAAGGAAAGTAATTAGAAGTCTAAGTTCTGGAGCCGAATAGATCTAGGTATTCCATTATGAGCCATATGACCTTGGGCAAATTACTTAATTTGTCTATGTATCCATCTTCTGGGGTGTAATGGGGATGATACTAACACCCAACTCATAGGATCCTTATAGGGAAAATATGCATGGAATATAAAACACTGAGCACTGTCCGCTGTATAGAAAAGAAACAGCCTATGCAGGAACAGAGTCTGAAAAACTCAAAGTCACGCTGTTTATTTGTGAAATCATTTTTCTGGGCACAAATTTAAATCTTAGTTATTGCTAAGACTGATGTGAAAGACAATCTACCCTACATCCAAAAGTAAACATTTCTGCATTGTTCATCCTTGTAACATGAATAATAACCCACAATTTAACCTTCATTGTTTTATATTCTACAAAGATTTGAAAATGTAAAGTTTATGAGACTCTCTACTGAATGTCAAAGATGTTTAATATACTTAATGGATTTTAATATGTAAAAATGGAGGCAAAAAAAACAACACAAACACAGAGTCAAAATGCAGAATCTCCTCTTGGCCCTACAGGATGGGAACACAGAGACAGCATCCTGTTTCTGATAGGCTGAGGCCAGTATGAATGGTCTTGTTCCACTGGACATAGAATGTGATGGAGATTAAAGGCTTTCAATCTGAATGACCCACAAAGGAGAAATTAGAGTAGGCTTAGGTGGAGCCAGGCTATTCCAACAGCATGAGGGCAATAAAGATTGCCTTCAAGTAACTCCAAGGGCTATATTTGGGGCTTCTCTTGACATGTAGGCCCCAATCATTTACTGGCGAGGTAACTTTTAAGGGCAAAGACAACTGCAAAAGTGTTATTTAACAGCTACCCTACCACCCCTGGGATATTATTAGGGCCATCTCACAGTTTTCCCTTGTCATCTGAATGGATATGGAGAATATACAATTCTAAAGTGTTCCAAATATCAGGAAAAGACTCAGGCCAGGTTTCTTGTATTCTCCCTTGTCCTTCTGGTCTTGTCTTCAGCCTCAATCTTCCTGGCCTGGTAGAGCATGGGCAAAACTATCAGAGGTGGCCGTAGTATCTTCCTCCAAATATCCCTTTGTGCTTTCTCATAATGAAAATGATCTGCTTTAATGTCTGCCTCATATTTAGTACTGAGTTGCTTTCCCCACCAACCAAACCAACCAGTTCCTCCACCCTCCTCCCTGAAGTTAATATTTGCTTAAGAAATGCACTTAACTTGAATGTTAGCCAGAGCCAAATGCCATCAAATAAGTAAATATACAAGGGGGAAAAAATCTTGCATGGAATGCGTTTCAAAGTGTAAATTATTTAGTAAGTTTATCTGCAGCTGGTCATGCTGCTGTTCTTATTGGCCTGGAAGCCAGTAGTTGGCTGCATCTCCTGTTTGTCCTCATACTGTCCTTGACATACCAGAGTAAGTGTGCAGAAGTGCTTTGAAAAGTTCAAAGTCATAGCATTTAAGTTCCAGGCCAAGTCACTGTGCTGGCCACATAACTCAGTTACATGGAAGACCCACATAGTGAAATACCTGACAATGGCTAGGTAGAATTGGAATTAGCACTTGGGTCTTCTGATCTGTGTGCCCTTTAGTTTTCTACCCAGGACTGAGCAGGAGAAAGGCCCCCTGCCATCTGCCTGCTCCAAGGGTGGGTGCCGGCAAGCCCCCAGCCTAACCTTCTCCTCTCCCTGGTACCTCTTTTCAGGAAGAAGCAGGTTTGCAAGTGTAGCATCAAGGACAGGTTTCCAGCCCTTCTGCATTCTTCCCTCACAGCAGGGTGGTTCTCAGGTCCCACCAGTTTCTCCAGAGAGAGAGCTCTCCTCACAGCCCCTTCTCCCTGCAGACTGATAACAGCTACGACTTCCTGTCGGCTGAGGAGAAGGAGTGTCTGCTCTTCCTAGAGGAGACCATTGGCTCGTTGGATGCTGAGGCTGACAGCGTTCTGTCCATTGATGGGTCGGAGCCAGCAACAACTCCCCGAGGTTTCAGAGCACTCCCCATCACCCCGCTGGCTCCCCATGGTAAGACAGACTCTCCGTACAACACTGGGAGCATCAGTGCTTCCTTCTGGCCACTTTCTGCCTTGCCTGCCCTCAGTTTCAAGGGTCACGGGCAAAAGTGGGATCCATACTCCTCACCACCCTCCTGGCCTTGTCCCTGAAGGGAAGGAGGAACCAGTGAGAGGCCAGCTCCCATGTCTTTCTAGGAAATAGCAGAGGCCTGAGAGGGAAAGGGGTTTGGATGGCTCCCACCCTCCTGTGAGGAAATTCTAAGGAGATCTGAGCCTGCAGGTTGGAAGCGGGTGGAGAGGCCTAGAGAGACCCAGTCTGGAGAGCTAATCTGTGTGACCCAGAAGAGGAGGCTGCGGAGATAAGGAGAGAAAAGGGCTTCCCAGTGGCAGTGATGACGCTGTGAGGCCTGTGTTAGAGAAGGTGGAAAGCCAGTGGTTTTCAGGTCCCCAAAAACCGTAGTACCTGGACATACATCTCTGTGTATAGGGAGAACTTTATTTTTGAGAACAGTCCCAGTGGTATCAGAACTACAGTCATTTATTGATTCATTTCGCAAATATTTATCGACAGTACATTAGACCCTCCCTGGAGATAGAGTAGGAAATAGGGACATGGTGCTGAGGGGACTGAGTCACTGGCCCCGTGGACCTGCAGCTCCTGCCAGGCTTCCTGGAAGGAAAGATGCCATGTCACTCTCTGGAGCAGGGCACTGTGCTGCTACACAACTGCCCAGGTCTCACAGAAAGTAAAAGTAGAAGAAGTATTTGGGAGCCCCAAGATAGCTAGAGGCAGCCATCCTGAGTGCCCCCACCTCTGGCAGATCTATAGATGGTCAGGAGAGCCTATGAAGGATGTAGAGCAATCAGGCCCAACCATCGGGAAGCATAATCCTCAGTCCGAAGGAATCTGCTAGTATTGCTCTATTAGTATAGGTCAGGGGTGGTGAACTTTTTAGAGACTGCATGTTCAAATTGCAACCCAAAACCTGCTTATTACAAAATGCCAACACTGCAATTAAACTTGAATACTGAGATTTTAGTGTAGAAAAAATAACTCATACATTAACAACTTTTGTCTTAAAAGAAAAACCCAATAACATGCATGCCATATATTTGCCAACACTGGTCTAGATGATATTCAGATAAGAGTGTTGCCCCCTTAAAAACAAACAAAACAAAGCTTACCTGTTGCTGGTTGGAGTCCAGAGTCTGGAAGTATTTGCTCCTCCTCTGCAGCAGGGCTCTCACCTCCATGCTCTCCTTTTGCCTGTCCGCACAGGAAACCCAGAGGAAACAGTTATTCAGCAGAGACCAGAGCCCAGGAGAGTGACTGAGACTACCTCATCCTATCCTCCTGAGGCCCAAGGCCTGGGCCGCAAGTCTGGCTCCTATAGCCTCCCGAGGAATATCCACATTGGCGGAAATCAGAGCCTTAGGCAAAGCACCACCCAGACTAACGGCCACTTCTCTGCACGAGGATCTGAGGGGCACCTAGCAGAACCCAAGAAAGGGGAGGCCAGCCAGAGCAGTGAGCCACGCAGGGCACCAGCCAGCCCCCGGAGGGCCAGCCTGCACCTGGACACAGTGCTCATTCCCCCACCAAAGGCTTTCCAGGACGGCTGGCCAGGACAGCAGAGCTGTGTGCCCCCAAAGACAGTGGAGGCCATGTCCCATACAGCCAGCAAGAAAGGTGCACTGGGGGGCCCTGGGCAACCACAGGCATCTCCTACCCAGTTGTCTCAAGATGCTAGAGCTGAAGACACTCCCCTCCCATCCGGGAATGGCACAAATGCCAGTCTGGCCCCTGTCACTGCCCCAAAGCCCCGGAAGCTGCCTCCAAACATTGTCCTGAAGAGCAGCCGCAGCAGTTTCCACAGTGAGCCCCAGAGCTGGCTGTCCCGCCACGCTGAAGTTGGAGATGCTGGCCCGGCCTCCTCCTCCCTGCAGGAGCAGAGGAAAGCACGGAGAGAAGCACTAAAGAAGCTGGGGCTACCCCAGGACCAAGAGGAGCCTGGCCTCCCCCTAAGCCACCCTGCCAGCTCTGTCAGACTCAAGAAGCCCCAAGATCCGGGCCCTACTGCAGTCCCAGCCCCAGCTCAGCCAGCAGCTCTGGCTCCAGCCTCAGCAGCTCTTCCTGCTTCAGGGAAGGCTCCGGCTCCGACACTGGCTCCAGTGTGGGGCCCTGCCCCAGTGAAGGCTCCAGCTTCAGCACCAGCTCAGGGATCCTCTCCTGGCAAGGTTTGCATCGCTGCCCAGGAAGCCCCTCCAGGACAGGCCACAGCTCGCAAATCCATGCCAATTCCTATACCTAAGACCTCAAAGGCAAGCAGTCCCCTGACTAAGCCAAAGCTAGACTCAGGACTGACGCTCCAGGAGAGCAGCATCCCGGGGCTGAAACAGATGAACTTCAAATTCAACACTCTGGAGTGTTCGGGTGTTGGGCTGAACAGCTACCTCTCAGCTGAGAAAGACCCCAGCCCCAAAACTAGCACTTCTCTGGGAAAGGACTCCACTTTGGAGCAGAAGTCTCCCAGTGTGCTGCGTAACTCTCGGCCACGCCCTGCCTCCCTGGGCACTGGAAAGGACTTTGCAGGTATCCAGGTAGGTAGGTTGGCTGACCTGGAGCAGGGCCAGAGCTTCAAGCGTCCGTCCTACCAAGGACAGAGCCCTGACAAGCTTCCTCGACCCCTCTGTGTCAGTGTCAAGATTTCTCCAAAAGGCGTCCCTGATGAACACAGAAGGGAGGCTTTGAAGAAGCTGGGACTGCTAAAGGAGTAGCTCTGCCACAGACTAAGCCACGGGAGGGACTCTCGGGTTCCGCTCAGGAGCCTTTGCGATCTCAGAGCTCAGGGCTGGTCGTGGGCAGGCTTTTCTCAGATGCCTTTGCTCTCTGAGGTGAAGGGAGGGAGCATATGTTTGGATTCAGGGGCACTGGCCTTCGGGAGCCTGCGTGCACATAGCTTTACACAAGAGCGTGTGTGTGTGCTGTGTGGCTGTGTGTGTGACGAATTGTATATATCACAGACACTATGTAACGCAAGGGATCATTGCTCAGAGCTTTGCTCTTGTTGGAGCTCTTACAATGGGTCGAGTTCAGCCTTCCCCAGCACTGAGTGGAGGGAGGTGGCCAAACTTGAGAAGAAAAGCCAAATGCCACAGTGGATATGCATTACTTTAAAAATTGTGTGGATAAAGGGTCTCAAGAATCCCTGCAAGAGATGGAGCCTGCCTCACATCTTGGTGGACACTGTCTCAGTTCAGGCTTCCTGGACAGGGCCTGGAACCAAAAGGAGGCGTTACCTCTTCACCCACCGCCTTCTCAGTATCACACATCCCTGTAACAACCTCTCAGCTTATTGATAGCAGAACAGCTGTGGATCTGAGAAGGCAGGATAAATAACCACACTCAACCTCCACTTCTGCCCAGGGTGTCCTTGTCCATGGCCTTGATAAATTCAGTGAGAGACTGTGCTGCAGTCCATGACTGACATTCCTGTTTTTCCTGTTCCTCCTGCTCTCTTGCTCCCTATCTCGCTCTGCATCTGCCTGACTTGAGTGCTGGTCACCACTGAGCTGGAAGCCCCAGACCAGAGGCTTAACAAAGACGGCAGGTAGTTTTCAAATGTTCTCAGTTCCCATGGTAGGAAATCAACACAGTACATAGAATATCAGCGTTCAAAGGAATCTTGGGAAGGCTCCCATCCAGCCCTACTGGGGAGGATAAGCAGCTCCTCAAGGTTACTTGACCATTTAGTACCAGCAGAGATGGGAACCTGGGCTCCCAACTGCCACTTGGCACTGCCTCCCTTTCCCAGAACTCTCCCACATCCACACAAAACTTAAAAGTCCATGGTCACAGTCCATGACTCAGCCTAAGGCCCGCTAACATCCTAAAGTGTCTTCTGAAGCATCAAAGATTAAATGTTCAGGACACTATTCAGATTAAGATTTTTTTTAAAAAAAATTTTATCTTCACAAAGTGGCTGTATAATAACTCATTCTTACCGAGAACTCCTCTCTGCCCAGATTGCCTGACCAATCTGGACAACTTGAGCAACACCAAAAGAGGGTCATGGGAGTAGGTGGCGTGGGCTTGGGAATACAAGCTTGGTGATTAGATGTGGTTAGACATGACCCCCACTTCCCCTTGGGAAATATATCTTATTCATGGCTTTGACTGGGTTGGAATCCAGAATATCCAGATGTGAGGGGCAGATAAAGAAACTGTTGTTGGAAAGGTGTCCTTTATGTCTTTGAAGCATTTCTGGGCCATTTCCCTATGGACCTATCACTACTGAAGTTCAGGATTTCTGAAAATGATGAGAGAGTTAGGGTAAGGATGACAAATAGCTCCTCCCTGCCATGGTATGTGCTGTATGGGTGTGGCAGTTTCTATGTACACTCCTGTACACACACTCATGCAAAAGCCTGCTGCCACATTCCTGGCTCTGGGGGAGGACCTGGTCTGTCATGGCCCATGGAGTCTCCCACACTGGCTAAGCTGCATCTTATTACAGGCTCCCCAAAAGAGAGAAGGCCACTTCTGGAAGACTGATTCAGCATGCTGTATTAGGTGGCGGCTTCATTGTATATTTCAAGATACAACCTGGTTCCTTATTTGTTAATTGCCCTGATGAAAAGAAAACAGGAGACTAGATACCAACTGAGATGTGGCAGGAATCTGGGGCTGGCATCAACACAAGGCTGACCAGCACTGTTTGGTCGGGAGTGCTACCTGCTACCTGCTACCTGCTATCCCCCCGAGTGAGGCAGGAAATTTCTCTCCCAGGGAAACCAGACCTCCACACTGCCTGCACCTTCCCATCTGCATCTTTATCCCAGTGATGTGCTCGTATCCCCAATTCTCTTTGAAAGACTCCCTTCCCTTGTTATTTAAAGATGCCATGGTTTTGGGGCTGGGGATTTAGCTCAGCGGCAAAAGCGCCTGCCTGGCAAGCGCAAGGTCATGAGTTCGGTTCCTGGTACCGGAGAAAAACCAAAAAAAAAAAAATAATAATAAAGATACCATGGATCTCTATGTCCTTACCCTTCAAAGAATACATTCTGCTTTAAGGCAATTCTTGGGAATTCAAAAATAGGTAATAAATCCGAAGTCAGACATCTTCATTTTAAAGAGAGTCAAAGAGACCTGGTGAGGACGTCCACCTCCCTACCATGTGATGCTAGACCTACTTGTGATGAGGTTATCAGGTCTGTCTTACTGTATCCATACAGGATTTCTCTTCACTCAGCTTGAGCTGGTTCGGGGGAAGTGATAGTGGGGTGAGAGCTGCTCTTCTTAAAGGATTTTGGGTGGAAGTGTGTAAAGATCACTTGTTTAATTTTAAAAGCCAAAGTGACAGTTTTTCCTCTTGACCTTGGGTGTCAGCCATACCCTGCCATAGTCTTGTTGCTGCTAGACACAAACCATCTACCAGATGCAGGTGCTGGCCTCTCCCCAGCCTGGCACAGTGGAGTCTGTGTCCTCAGGTGTGTGACCAGATACCGTTGAGTCACCACTCATGGCAGTCCTGACTCTGACTCTGACTCCAGGGAAGACTGATGTGCCATCTCACACTAAAGTCAGGGGACAGGTTGACTCACCTCTCACGTCCGCCTGCAGCAGGAAATGTAGTCCTGCAGTGGGTAGGTGTGCAAACATCTTTGCTTGTTTCATGGAAGGAAGGCCCAGTGACAGACAGGAGAGCAAGACCTAGCAGAGGTTCTGGCTTGGAGCTGGAGGTGAAGGTTGAAGAGTCTGCAAGATGTCTGATGTGTGAGATGTGCCCCTCCCTCCCCTCTTTGGGTCCATTCGTGTCTGTGTGGGCAGAGAAAGGTCACACCGTTGGCACGTGAAGCTGTGCTCTAGACTAGTGGAGGTAGGGAACAAGGGAGTGGACAGGAATTGTGCCGCTTTCCATCAGAATCTAGACAGGAACGCGGATACAGTGCTTCTATATTCTTTTCCTCTTGTGCTTGACTATGGCGCATATCAATCGAGGCTTATATTCAAATTCCATCAGTCAGGTACCCTAGGGAAATCCTTTAACTCATTGACCCTCAGAGTTCTCATTATAAAATGGGGGAAATATCACCACCCTCTCACAATTTGGGGGATAGATAAATGATATACAACATGTAAGGCTCAGGGCTTGGTACCGTGCAGCTCAGCAAGATAGTATTGTCTTCTGGATCTGCGTCCTTTCTCAAAGGAGTCATACGGAAACCGAAAGCTCACCTAACTCTGCTCAAAGGAAAGAGAAGAGAGGTTCTTGCATTTGAAGGTCCAAAGTCACAGCTGGTCTTTGGCACACCCTCCAGGTGACTCAACTTCACTCATGCCAGGTTTCCTGGAATTTGAAAAAAAAGTCCTCAGCCTGTATCAGGTTTATGCCTTGGTAAGGCTGAACCTGCTGTTTTCATCTTCTGAATTCTCAAACCCAGATTCCCCTTGGTTGTCACTTTCATGCTGCTTGTGACCATGTTTTATTTCTCTATGCTTCCTCTAACTTCCTATATATTGTTTTATAGTTATTTTTAAGATGGAAGGGGGAAATCTTATGTAACAGGAGAGAACTCTGGCTGAAATTAGAAAGACAAGCTGAGAAGTTTTTAAAATTTCTGGAGCATTAAAAAAAAATAGAGCAGGCATGTTTTTGGAATGAACCAGGAATTAGTTATCAGGAGAGAGGAACTGTGCTGCGTGGCCCTCCAGCTCCTCTGGTGCAGGGAGACTGAACTGCAGGAGTCATACCACTGTTGTCACCACTGGCACTAGGATGCACATGCATTAGAAATAAGTGACGTCCTATTTCAGGTTGCCATTCTCTTTTGCTCATTATTCCCTAGTTAAAGCCTTCTCCTTATTCACCACTTGCCATGTGTCCAGAGTTCAAAATAATATAAAACACAATGGTAGCCAAAGCTCTGGGCCGGGTGAGCCTTAGCAATTCACTTCACTGCACTCAAAACAGAGATGACAACTTGGACTCGATAATCTCCTAGCATGACAGCCAGAAAGGCATGTTGTAGTGAGTCCAAAAAAGTTAATTAGGAAACTTGACACCCTGAGAAAAATCTTACAATCTACACTTTAGGCAATCCACATGCTAGAAGGAGATTCAGGTTTTCCAGTGCAACCTCCACGTATAGAGGAGCTCTTTTTACATGTGTGTGTATGTATGTTTAAACACATTCTGCAAACGTGTTCAGGAAGATGGGTGGATGGAAGAGAGAGAAGAAGGGAGGGAAGGGGCAGACACTGAGAACATGGAGTGGCCAAGACCATAGGCTTCCAGGGTCTCTGCATCTCAATTCCTTTTCCAGCCATTTCTTTTTGCTTCCTTTAACTTCGTTTGTGTGGTTCAAGAAACTATATGCTAATATAGGTTTTTTTTTTAAAGAGGAAGAAATGAACTTAAATTATAACATGCCAGAGCCCTCCAAAGTAAGCAGTAATAATACCTCTTTCAGTTTTTATTAGAAAAGAGTCAAATGATCATACATATAGAAACACTTAGCACACAGCCCAATAAAAGGGATCTGTTACTCTCACACATCTGTACTTTCGGTGCCAGGGGCCCCTCATGAGGTTGAGTCCCATGGAAAATCAAACGATGTCAAGTAGGTTGTTTTTTCTGAGGCTTCTTACAGAAGATGAGGTGGGTGGCGCCAAAGCACTGATCATGGCCATACATCCCACCTCTGTCTCCCAACCCTTCTCTCCTCTTCTCCTTCCCAGCTTGCAGCACAACCAGGAAATCCTCCTCTCCACCCACATTTGGGGACCTCTTTGATCTAACCATTAACCCAAGAGACTTTTCAAAAATTTCTTCACGTATGAACAGAGCAGACTCGATGGAATCAGCTCTTCTTCCTCAGCTGCATGACTGAAGGGGTGGAGGCTGCAACACAAGATACCTTTTGGAGTTCACTTCCTCCAGTTTAAAAAAAAATAGAGCAGGCATGCCACACCACCCTCTTCCAAAGGGCTGAGGCATGCTCCATGGAGGCCTCCTTTGGATTAATTCCCTGCACTGTGAGCTTCTTGGCTATGGGGAGATGATGTCTGTTACCTACTCCCTATGGGACTCTCCTGTCCCAGCCCTTCAGGAAGGGGTGCCCCTGCAACTGGAAAGTTCCCCACGGTTGTCATGGTTAAAGGAAATATCATTTGGCCACAGTTATGATATCAGTGACACTTTCGGGTGACTTGAAAACAGGCACAATTCCAGCCTCATCTTCCCCATTCCTCCTCTGCCTCGGGAATCAGGGACCACCCTGTCTTTCCAATCCTATTAGCTGGGGAGAAGGATTATTCCAGTGCCCTGGCTCCTGAGTGGCCACCGTCCACTGCAGGAAGAGGTCCAAGCCACTGCCACGGTTCTGTGGTGGCTCCTCTCATCTTCCTTACAGGGCTGGGATGTCCCCGCAGGCCGCTGCCCTCTCATTTCTAGACCAGGGTGTCTAGAAGAAAAGGGCAGGGCTCTCCGTTTGGGAAGTTTCCTGCCAGGCCGCTGCTGTGTGCTCCATGCCGCAGCTGCCTATTCTGTGTCTGCAAGGGGCTCCGGCTCAGCAACCCAGAAAAAGAGCCATGGGACCTATGAGGCCCCTTAACAGTATGAGTCCCCGCGAGTGCCTTGGCTTTCATCAATCTCTAGTGCCCTAATGACCCATGGCCCTGTCCTCTCCACATCTCACCAAAGTAGTCAGCTCTCCAACTCAGACACAGGTTGCGTCCAAGCATCTCTCACACCTGTCCTCTTCTTTCCCTTCCCAGTCTCCCCATTCCTCTCCCCACCCCCACCCCCAGCCTGCCTCCAGTTCCCATCTGGCCAGCAACCGGAGAACTCTGTATCAGTAGCATATTACCTTTCACGTAAGAAGGAGCGGACCTGAGAAAATACACACGTGTCTGTGCATCTGCAAAAAGAAATACACAAGTAACCCCAAAACTCGTGATCAATTACCCAGAGAAGGTGAGCAGGAAGCAGTGGAAAGAATGGAGGAATGGAAACAGGAAGAAAGTGGAAAGGCATTGCACTTCCCTGAGTATGCCTACTTGTATGGTTCAAATTTGAAAGCCCTAGTAATATTTCACATACTCATTACATAAATAAGTAAGTAATTAACCAAACAAATACCCAGGGCTGAGGTTGTGGCTCAGTACTAGAGTTCCTGCCTTGCATGCACAAGACCCTGGGTTCAATCCCCAGCACCACAAAAAACAACCAACCAACCAAATACCCAGAGTGTGTGTTTAGGGAGATGAATTCAAAATGGAATACACACAGTAATAAATTACCCTGTGTTAAGAATGAATGCCACCATCAAACCACCGGGATGAAGAAGAACACAGCTTTTTCAATAATTCTAAAAGTATATATTTTGGCAAAGTGCCTAGTAGAAAGTACAATAAAAAAACATAGATTTTATTTGTTCTAAATGTGTTTTTACATTTATGTGTTTTTACATTTATAGGGTAACAATTATAAAACTTTTCTTGTGCATTGGAGGAGTGAGCAAATAAGTAACTATCCTATGAATAAAGCAGCTAGACTTCTTACCATGGGGGAAGGGAGTTACAAACTCAAAATGGAGACTGAGTGAACCCTGTGATACTGAATTGGAACTGGAATCCCTATGAATTTATAGTGAGATAGACAGGTAGATAAATGGATGGATAGATGAACACAGACACAAATGTGCCTGTGCCTATCTCTCCTAGTTCTGTCCCCCAATAGGGCCTGGGAACAATGCCACCGCCATAGCAATGAACACATTTAACACCTAGACCTTGGTTTTT